GGAGACTGAGTAATTTATAAAGAACAGAAATTTATTTCTCACAGTTCTGGAGGCTGGGAAGTGCAAGATTGAGGCCAGGACAGGTTTGGTGTCTGGTGAGGGCCCTGGCTCTGCTTCCAAGATGATGCCTTGAATGCTGTGCCCTCACGTGGCAGAAAGCAGAAGGGCAGAAAGCGGCAAACTCTGAAGCCTCTTCTGTAAGGGCAATTTCAAGTCATAAGGGTGGACTCTTAATACCACCCTTAATACCAACAGGCCCCACCTCTTAATACCACTACAATGGAGATTAAGTTTCAACATGAATTTTGGAGGGGCCACACATTCAAACCATAATATCTGGGTCCTCCTCACTGCCTCTTACCTGATCAGGCTGTTTCTAAAATGTTTGGAGAGCTACCTTGTCTGTCTAACGACTGCTATGTATTCTCAGTACCTAGAAGTGTACCTAGCACATAGTAGGCACTTGATAAGTATTTGTTGGATGGATGAATGAATCGATGCCATTATTTGTAGAGATCTTGCTATTGGCCTCCGGCTGAAATTGGGGGATTGGTTTAGAGTACTCCAGCTCTTGAAAACTGGATCTGGTGATGCAGATGACAGTCTCCTTGAACAAGCCCACAATGCCATTGGAGACTACTTTGCTGATCGACAAAAGTGGTATGTAACTTATCTGGGGCACCTCATGCTTTCATGCAACACTGGTAGCTGCCTGAGTACTCCTCTAGGAAATAATGCTGGGAAAATGAAGATCATCTTCCTGGATCCTAAAATTCTAATAGTTCTAGATTCAGGTTGGAGAGCCAGAGATCTTTGTAGCTGTGAGATGAGAACTGTAAAACTTTGGAGTTTGCAAACATAAAACCTACACTTAGCTCCAGGCAGCTTTCTACTGTTTGGGACTATAGTGTACAAGTCCAAGACGTTATATGATTTATTTCTGAACAAAGTAAAAAAAGTGTTTTATATTTGCTTGTTTTAATATTATATATTATTTTCAGAAATCATTGGCTTTTATTCTTTATTTTGATCAAGATACTTATTTATTTATGTCAGTGTTGTGAGTACTATACATTGTATTAAAACAATATTTCTTAATAATATTCAAAGAATGCTAAAACTAGAATATGCTACACAGTTTTTAGATTTCTTTTCCCAATTTATATACTTCAAAGTTATTCTGTAAGGGAAGATGATGAACAGAGTAATACTAGTAAAGATAATTCTAATGAAGGAACATTTTTGGTGAAAGTGCTTATTGATCAGGAGATTCACATTAATTTTAAAAGTTTTTCTTTTTTCTTTTTATAGGTTGAATGCTGTACAATATTATGTACAAGGCCGGAACCAGGCACGCTTAGCTGAATGTTATTATATGTTAGAAGATTATGAGGGATTAGAGAATCTTGCCAGCTCACTTCCAGAAAACCACAAATTGCTTCCAGTAGGTATTACAAATTTTAGTTTTTGGAGTTGTTAGGTTATTTTATAACATTTTATATTATAGTCAG